TTCGTCCTTTTACCCATAGTTCCTCAAGTAAATACTCGGCCAAGGTCAAGTTCAATGCCATCGTGCTATCGGGACCCTAATGAATATTTTAATATATCACGTGATCAGACACTCCATATTAGGGCAAGGCAGTCGCCATATCCACACTGTGATATTCATCGTTACCCAGTACCAGACTTCCTCGTAGACTGGCAGGTATTGTTAGACTCAAGTATACTTCCATCCATTCGATGATTTTCAATGCATTGTGGGATCAGTTTCAAGAGAAAACAAAAGAATATCCTACAATGCATTGCGTATACGGTATATGACGTAAAAGCTTCAAATGTCTATTTCTAGCGTAATRTTTGATTTAAAATTGTAAATATAGCAGACATCTTTACTTCCTCTAACTTACTTGCATATTGCTTGTATTCAACCAATCAAATGACATATTATTTTAATCATCCAATCAAATGATAGATATTATTTCAATTGTTTCCTTAGATGCCTTTTCCTGGATATTTCCCAGTCAATCATTCAGACACATCGATAACTACCAATCCTTCCTGGGCAGATGTAGATATTTCAGAGTAAGTAAATTGATGTAAGCCGTAATATATAACATGCCACTATGACATCGTTATGACTCTCGGTGTTCTTGGGCTTCCTGTGTATAAAACAGGGAGAATGATACGACAAAGCCAAGACAAAGGAAGCCCAAGGAGAGAAATAGGAGTCTAGTGCGGAGGAGGCTATACCTAGAATACTAAATATCAAAGCGTCGATAAATAATTTGAACTTGACATACTATACCAACGCACATTGTGATGTTTTTTTCATTGTATATGTTCTCTTTTCGATAGCCCTGAGCACCAAGATGTGCACCTTCGTTTCAATTCTGTTGATAATGACGTTGACAGACGTAGTCACATTGGGTTTTATGACTTATTTGACGGSCTACCAAGGTACGCATTGTAGACTTACTGGACCAACATGTTTTGATTCTAATTCGCTTCCAATACTGAACAAACARTATCTGATAGGRCATCAAAGTTTGCACCGTGATGGGTTGRGAARCCTCACGGATTGARTTGGAAGTTAATCTTAAAAAAGTGAKAGTTTATTTTAATTTCTYTTTGAACGAGGTAGAAAYCCAATGGGAAGAACTGGCCTTGGAGGTCGAGGACTACTTGGRAGATGGGGACCTAACCACGCAGCTGATCCCATCGTTACGCGGTTAGTACGTTTGATGAAAGTYTTCCTACGTATTGCTACGTGTTTTCCAACACCTTTGACGGTGCTTTGTTAACTTTATTAGGTGGATGAAAAACGRCAGTGGAGAACATGTCAGACGCACTGGTAAACGGGTGTTGGAATTCGTTGCGGTTCAGCGACGGGACTGTAAGCAGTGGGCAATACCAGGGGTACGTACCTTTTACTGTTACGTATTTCTTACAGCTAGAGCGGATTTCGTATGAGTGGGACACCGTTACCGCACGGTTACCGCACAGTTACCGCACCTGGCCTGCAGAATTTTGGTGAACCAATGGGGCACTAGAATTTGGTTACAGTACGATTACGGTCACAGTACAGTACCGTCCGTTTCCCACTAATACGAAATCCGCTCTAAGGCTTACGTACCTCATCTTACGTACTTTTAACATCTCAGGCTTACGTAACTCTTATTCTTACGTTCTTGGTACTCTGTTGTACCACTCGCCCTTGCGTACTTACATACTATTGCGCACCTCTTATACTTACTGACCTATTACTCTTATACGTTCATCTTACTTTTAAGTAACTATCACTCTTACGTACCTCATGCTATTGCGCACGACTTACTTTACGTTCTTCTTATTCTAACGTACCCCTCACTCAACCCCTATCATACTGTTCAGCTCTTACCTTACACCTTTTACTATATATAGTACGTCCTCATTCTTACTTTTACGCATTCCTTATTCTTACGTATCCATACTATTGGACACCTCTTACTCTTACGTTATCATGTGATTTCCACTAGGGGATGATAGACGTAGGAGAAACAGTAAGTCAAACACTCAAGAGAGAATTCTGCGAGGAGGCATTGTGCTCATTAGAACAAAGTGAACAAGAAATAAAAGAAAAAGCCTTTGAGATACAGCAATTCTTTGCATACGGCATTGAGGTAAATCTTAAATGCATTGTAAAATATTAATTGTAAAAAAAGGAATGGAAAGTCATTCAAGTTAAGTTAGGTTATTCAAGGAAAATATATGTTATTTGATATTGATCACTTKTATTGACTATTAGATTTACAAAGGTTATGTGGACGATCCYCGCAACACAGACAACGCATGGATGGAGACTGTTGCCATTAATTTCCACGATGAGACGGGGAACTTTTTGGGTGATGTYGAGTTAAAGGTATAGGCACCGTCATTACATAGCCTGAGTTTCATCTAGCAAATCGGCTGCATTGAATTGAATRGTCTMTCTTCACGGTTCCYTGCGCCATCTTGAAAAGTAGCSGCGCCTTTGCTCCGAAGCGAGACAACCGTTGAGCGTGCAATGATAGATAMCTGTGAATAATTGTTTGTAGTGCCGGGTAGATGTGAACTAAAGTTTCTRTCATCGCACGCTCAACGGTCGTCTCGCTTTGTCGGCTACCTTTTAAGGAGACTAAACTATTGCATCTTACTAAAAACCTTATCATTTTCTATTTTTCTTTGACGCATTTCTTTGTTATTTCGTATGTTTTCTAATTGAAAGGAGGGAGATGATGCCTGCAATGTCCGTTGGCAAGAGGTCAGCAGTCATGCMGAATTGTATGCAAATCATGCAATGATGCTACAACGTGTCGCAGAGTATCATGGGGCATACTTTTAAAGGTTAACAACAATAG